ATTTCTAAAAATCTTATATGCTCTGGTATAATGTTATAAGTCATAATTCTAGTTATTACTTTAAAATGTGTATCTCAGAAATAAGAAAAAAAAAAAAAGAAGACATACAGATGGCCAATAGGCACAGGAAAAGATACTCAATGTTGCTAATTATTACAGAAATGCAAATCAAGAGTACAATGAAGTACTACCTCACACCACTCAGAATGGCCAACATTGAAAAATCTACAAATAAAAAATGCTGGACAGGGTGTGGAGAAATGGGAACCCTCCTACACTGTTAATGAGAATGTAAATTGGTGCAGCCACTACAGAAAACAGTATGGAGGTTCCTCACAAAACTGAAAATAGAGTTGCCATATGATCCAGCAATCCCAGTCCTCAGCATGTATCTGGACAAAACTGTAATTTGAAATGATACATGCACCCCTATGTTCATAGCAGCACTATTTACAATAGCGAAGACACGGAAGCAACCTCACTGTCCATTGACAGATGAATGGATAAAGAAGATGTAGTATATTTAAACAGTAGAATACTACTTAGCCATAAAAGAATGAAATAAAGCCATTTGCAGCAACATGGATACACCCAGAAATTATCATACTAAGTGAAGCAAGTCAAAATGAGAATGACAAACACCATATGATATCACTTATATGTGGAATCTAAAATATGACACAAATGAACTTATTTATGAAACAGAAAGAGACTCATAGACATGGAGAACAGATTTGTCATTGCAAAGGGGGAGGGGGTATTGGGGAGGGATAGATGGGGAATTTGGGATTAGCAGATCCAAACTATTATATATAGAATGGATAAACAACAAGGTCCTACTGTACAGCACAGGGACCTATATTCAATATCCTATAATAAACCATAATGGAAAATAATATGAAAAAGAAAAAGAAAGAAAACTATGGGGAACAAAATAAATCAAGGACATTCATAAAACAAATATTTCAATTATTTTCTGATTGCTTACAATATGCCAAGCATTACCATAGACACTATATATATAAACTGAAATAGCCCTTGTCCTAATCACTAAAAAGTTCAACTTCTAAAGGGTAAGAGAAATAAGCAAACCAACAATTAGAAGTGCTGATGGATTTTCAATAAAGCCAAAAAGATGTTCATAGATCACTGATTCAGGAGATTTACCCTATTCGTACAATCTAACATTTCTAACAAATAAGCTAAGTAACGAAAGAACAATGTTCAATGTTCTATGAGTGGGATTTTCTTTTCTCTGAAAAGGCAAAATTTCTATCAGAAGTATTTCAGGATTTTCCTCTAAAATATCAGCACATTTCTTTGTTGTAGTAAACAACTTTGTACTTTCATTTTTTAACAAACTACTTTGAAAGGTAGATAAACCAAGGCACTGACCCTGATAGAATAAATGACTTTAATGGCATTCTTTTAATTCTCTGAAAGAGAATTCTTTCAGAATTGTTGGCAAAGGTTTTTTTTACATATATGCCTAGTAAAGCTTTAACTAAATGTGCAAGTGCCCTATCTCTGCAGAGAAGAATGAAATTTTCTTTTCTGGTCAAAGAATCCTTAGGAAATAAGAACCTGCTGTATAGCACAGGGAACTCTACTCAGTATTCTGTAATGGCCTATATGGGAAAAGAATCTAAAAAAAAAGAGTGGTTATATGTATATGTATAACTGATTCACACTGCTGTATACCTGAAACTAACACAACACTGTAAATCAACTATACTCTAAATAAAATAAATAAATAAATAAATAATACTTGTAACCAAATAAATAAATAAAAAGTGACAACCTACAGGTATAGTTTCAGAAATTGCAGAAAGATCCCCTTCCCTGGCCACCCTGTATAGCTGTCTCTCCCACGTTACATCCACACACCACCATCCCCAAAAGAAAAACACTGCTGATACCTGAAATTCCTATAATTATCACTCCATTCGTTCGTATGAATTTAATAGGTGCTTTTTCACAGTTAAACTGTGCACATCCTAGGGGTGGGGGAATTGGAGGAAGGTGGTCAAAATGTACAAACTTCCAGTTACAAGACAAATAAGTACTAGACATGTAATGCACAACATGATGCTATAGTTAACATGCTGTATGATATACGGGAAAACTGTTAAGAAAGTAGATCCTAAGAGTTCTCATCACAATGATTTTTTCTTTTCTTTTTATTATATCTATATGAGATGATGGATGTTAACTAAACCTGTTGTGATAATCATTTCACAACATATGTAAATCAAATCATCATGCTCTACACTGTAAGCAGTGATGTATGTCAATTATTTCTCAATAAAACTAGGAAAAAATGTTTAAAAAAAAAAGAATCCATAGAATAAAAACCTTTCTATTTGAAGCTTCAAAGGGCTATACAGTTTCCAAAAGAGACTCACAAATAGAAATTCTACTTTGAATACAACTTTGAGTTCTACTTCCCTGAGTTATGAGATACAATGCTCAAAAGCTAGGAGGAGCTGAAAAACATAAAGAAATCAGTAATGGTACAGAGATATATGCTCAAGGGATGAGATATAGTCTGTCAGTACTCTACAATATCCTTAGAACAGCAGAAGAAATGTTATTTAATAGAAGATCTGCTTCAATTTTTTCAGATGAACTGCTTTCAATTTCAAGAATCCCCTGAAATTCAGCCACAGTTTTAGAACCCTCTCATATAAAAGTGACAAGTATCAAAAAAGAGATAGGTATAACAAGAATACAAATATACATAATTTGAAAAGACAAATTCCGTAGAGAATATTTTAAAAGGCTTTAAGTTTCAAAAGAGAAAAAGGTTACAACTGTTCAAAAGGATGAGAAAAAAGACTTCAAAATGGACTAAAGACAAAATGAAAAGTGGATAGCCTCAAGAGGGTGATATCCGGCACAGATAATTAATAGCATATGTAAATGTCAAAGAAACATGTAAGTTACGTATAAAAAAGCTTTGGAGGTAAGGCTGGAAAATGGGTTATACTTTGGAAGGATATACTGCAGGAAGATCTAGTACTTTATATAGTTAGCACTAAGAAACCACATAAAAGTTTCAGAGTACAAAAGTATTATGACCACAAAGACACTTGAAAAAATAAATCTGGCAAAAGTGTACACAGTGTAAGTAGTTTTAGCTATACTCTTTTAGTCCCTACTTTTTAATCCTACTTACAGTTTCCCATTCTCAATTCCTTAATCTGTACAAGAAACTCCAAATTATCCACTTTTTAAAAACATGACTAGCACAACTTAGTAAAAACAGCCTATTTCATAGACATATTCTCTGTACTATTATCTAAGTCATTAATAAGTGAAGCTTGAAAAAATTCTATGAAACCTGATTTCATAGATTCTCACCTCTTCTCACACTACCATTAAATTACATAAATTAATCTTTGAGAATAGTCCTTTAAAATCAGTTATAAACCACTCTATAAACCTCTCAACACTGTAATGCAACCAAACCAATCCTTTGCCTTTTTCTATCCATTTACTCCTGTGGTAATTTCATGCAGTATTGTGAATTTAAACACCATTTATATGTTAATAATGCCCCAATTTCTATTTCCAGTTCAGGTTTCTCTCAACTCCCAACTATATCCATCTGCCTACTTGATAGCTCTACTTGTTTCACATCTAAAAGACATCCAAGCTCAGTATACCCAAAACAGAACTTCCAATCTTTGCTCCAAACCTACTCTTTCTCCCACATCTCAAATAATGGCCATTCTAGTCTTCCAGCTGCTCAGGCAAAAATCTCTGGAGTCTACTTTTCCTCTTCTCTTTAATTCATATTCCCCTCCCATCTAAACCATCATAAAAATCCTGTCCGCTCTCCTTCAAAATATACACAGAAAACATTTATGCATATAAAAACTTTAATCACTTCTAATCATCTCTTCAGCTACTATCTTGGTCAAGTCCACTATCGTTTCTTGTATGTATCATGGCAAAAGCTTAACTAGACCCTATGTCTGACCTTATTCTCCCCGAATCTACTCTTAACAAAGAAGCCAGGATGGTCCTGTCAAAATACATTTTCTGCTCAAAAATCTTAAATAGCTTTACCTCTCACCCAGAATAAAAACTTATTGGGTTTGTCAAAAAGTTCATTAGGATTTTTCCATAAGATGGTATGAAAACCCAAGCAAACTTCTTGGCCAACTCAATACTTCCTTACTATGACTTTCAAGCATAACATGATCTGGCCTCCCACAATCTCTCTAATCTGGATCTTCTACTTTCCTCTCTTTCATTCATTCCACTCCAACAACACTGGTCTCCTTGCTGTTCTTCCTACACATTGGACACATGTCCAGTCTTTGGACTTTAAATTCTCTGTTCCTTATGTCCACAGTGCTCTTCACTCAGATCCACAAAGATCACTGTTTAACTTCCTTCAAGTCCTTGTATCAATGTCACTTTTTCAATGAGAATTAGCCTGTGCATCCCAAGACATACACATACACATAAACATACAGCATACCTGGCACTCAAGATCCCTACCACCCTGCCTAAGATATATAACTTTTTTTTTATTTTTACAATTTATTACCTCTCTCTTAGTACCCAAATAGAATTCCATGCAGACAGGTGTTTTTATCTGTTTTACTGACCAACAGATAGGTGAATGAATCCTAGAACAAAATATTTTACATGAAATGGATAACAAATTCAAGTCTCTCATTCTGGAGGAGGAGATAATGACCTTGACTTGTGCAAGGTCAGTCAGTAAATGGCAGAGCCCAGAAAAAAACCAGGTCTCCTTGGCCCTAGGCCTAGGTGTAGGCCTAGGCTTTTTTCCACCAGGATACAATGGTGGAACATGAGAGAATACATACGCAAATAAATTTTAAAAACAAGCAAACAAGCATAAAAACATACAAGCACACCGACACAGATATAGACACATTTAACATTAAAATATTACCACTGCCAAGTAGAAGTATTATATAAGGTAACTGGCTACCTATAAACAAACTTTTATTACTTACCTCTACCCCAGATTTTTTTGATGATATCTGTGTTATGCTGTCTTCAAATTTATTTGCCTTGTCAAGTTGGGCTTTAAGTTGTTCAGCTAATTCCTTCAAATAGAAAGACAAGAAAAACAGGTGTGATAACATAGTTTCTTCATTTGTAGAATATTTCAAATTCACTTAACAACAGGGAAAACAGCATAGCAAACATCCAAGTAGCTCTCACCTAAATCTAGTTACCAACTCACAGCCTAGTATGTTACTTTTTAATGAACTCTTCTGGGTAACAAAATTCTCAAATACCTGTAGAAATTGTTTATGCTTTGAAGGTAAATAATTACAAGGACATATATTTTAGGGAAGATAGGGAAATGAAAGAAATACATAACCTTAAGAATGGCATTTTTATAATTCCTTAGATATTATAAACTTCCAATACTCAGAATTTCAGTTATTTGTAAAAAGAAAGCCATCGCAAGATTTAAAATATTACCTTCTTTATTGTTAAGGAATTTAGATTAAAATTCTGAATGTATTTCATTTTAACCCTAGGAAATCTAAAAAAATTTATATTACAAAACTGACATACAAAGCAATAAATCACAATGAAATAAATAAACAGAATTATATGACAAGCAAAGACAGCATTCTCCACTGCAGTAGTTCCATGAACACAGAACACTTCTTTTAACATGTTAACCTCTTAACTTGGTGATCTCTCTTTCACTATTTTAACTAATTTCATTGTGCTTTCAAAACTCATATGTTATTTTCTTGCTGTTGTTGGTGGTGGTCTGTCTTGCTTACTAATTTCTGGGTTGAGCTTAAGTTCAGTGTTACCAGATTGCAGCAAATATGACTTCTATTACAGATATAAACTAATAAAAACAGAAGTTATCATGTTTGGCTACTTTTTGTTCTACTAAAGAGTGTCATACGGATGGTACACCAAAACAGAACACTACTTAAGATCACTTATATTTGGATTTGAGATGCGTACATACATATGACCACGAGGGAATCAATTTTGTCAAGACATGGAAAGCTGCCTGACTTTGTTATTCTGCCATGTCCAATGTAACAGTATTTGTATAATATAAATGTGACAATATAATAAATAGATAGGTGCCACCCTTACCAAATAATTCTGATTTCTATTCAATTGTGAGTTAAGTAAGTTTCAAATCACAACATTATTATGGGAATAAAGTGAGCTAATCTACACAGAGCATTTAACACATTGTCAGGCACAAATATGTTGCCTTAAGATTTGAAAAAATGAGTTAACCATCCTTTTTTATTAGCTCATTTTTGAAGTTCCTAAGTAAGGGAATTTAAGAAAGTAATACACATTCTTAACAAAATATGACTAAAAAAGGGAAAGAAGACAGTGACATCTTTATCTCCCTCAAATACGCTCAATAAGTTATAAATACAATAATAAAGCAAATATCCAAGTTAAAAAGAAAATTAAAAAGCATTTAGTTCCCTAGAATCTTAAATTTCAGAAATTTGACAAATTACATAACTTACTTAGAAGTAGACAGCACTGTTCTTAGAAGTGTTCAAGAATTTCTTCAAAGAATCAATAAGCAGCAGTTATTTTCAAAGAGTGCTACATCCACATAGCTAAGGAACTTCCAAAATTACTTGTAAGAAGTTATATATTTAGCAAATATTCTCCAAAAGAACAACATATAAGTCTTACCATATTTCCCATCATCTCTGCCTTGATAATCTTGGCTCCCAACTTGTTCTTCTCATCAACACTCAAGATGTGGATAGAGTCATCCACTGGACTACTCCTGTTTGAACAGGACAGATTAAGAGCATATGAAATACAGGTACATATTAACAAGAAGTAAGTTGTTGCAAGTAACATCACCAATATTCAAATGTTACTTTAATTGACCTTAACAAAGCATTCAGCACAAATAGATCATGATTCTAGTATATTAAATAAATAAATAAATGACCCTCAGTGCTCCACCATAAATCAGTACTTAAAGATTCTATGTTACAATGTCATGATGGCCTATGGCAGTTATAATATCTGACCAAAGATCCAGTAGCAATGAGAAAAATAATATGTCAGCTATTCTTCATTACTTAATATTCCTATACTCATTCTAAAAAAGAAAGAAACAAACAAAAAATTAAAACTCTAGAATCAGGCCATAACTCTACACAGCTAGGGAAACTCTTCTCATTCAATGTGATAAATTACTGATAATCTAAGAAACTATAATCAGGAAATTACATTTAACTGCATTTAAACAATAAAAACAGTGACCATGTGCTCTTGCAAAGTCAACCCAGAATTAGACAACATAAACTAATTTACAACTAATATCACGTGTGAAACCTATACTATGGAAGCCTCACAAAAGAAAAGAGAAATTTCCAGCCAAGGTCAGATTCCTGGCATATACAAAGTTGTCCCAACTTACTGCCTTAAGAAAGATTTGAGACTACAGTGCAGGGAGGGTGAACCCAGGGAGAGCATGAAGGACTCCTTAATGGGAGAGACATAGCTAAGAGTCCAAGGCAGCTAGAGAGGGGAGAGCTACACAGTGAAAGGATCCCAGAGAAGCGCAGAGAGTTCCCGTTGAGTATTCAGCAAGACACTACCTGGAGTCAGGGAAAGAACTATCCCAAAGGGTTAAAGGAAGAGATATTCAGCATTCCTGGTAATAGTGCCTGGTCCTACAAGTCAGACTAGGAAAATTCATAATTCTGAAAGCACTGGGTAGAATATTAAGGGTCTTGTTTCATTAGTGGGAAATAAGTCCTAGACTAAATGTTGCTCTCAGCCCACCTAACAAATATTAAAAGCAGGAGTCAAAAGGACCAAACAGTCTCCAATTAAGTTAACTGGGTCCCAAAATAAAGCTCAAGAATACTTACAGCAATGCAAAAATATCCAGCACTCACAAAGTAAAACTCATAATATCTAGTATCCAATTAAAGATTATCAGACATGCAAAGATGTAGAAAAGTAAAACACATAATTAGGAGAAAAAGCTATCAATCAAACCAAGAACTGACACAGATGTAAGAAACAGCATACAAGGGCATTAAAAGTTATTATTATAAATTTATTCCATATGTTCAAAAAGTTAGAGACAACTAAGATATAAAATAGGTAAGAATTTAGTTTCTACAAGTGAAAATTACAATGTCTGAGATAAAAAAAAATACACTGAAAAGGATTAATGCAAGATTAGACTGCAAAAGAAAAAATCAGTTAACTTGAAGCGTTAGAAACTATGCAAAATGAAACACACAGAGAAAAAGAATTTTAAAAATGGAAAAGAACAACCGAGAGCTATGGGACAACCTTAAATACCCTACTATTCATGCTATTGGAGTCCCTGAAAGAAATGAGAGACAGAAGAAACAAAGGCCAAATTTTACCAAATATGTTGAAAACTAAAAAACTTTCATATCCAAGAAGCTCACAGAATCCCAAGTACAAAAACAAGACAGGGCTTCCCTGGTGGCGCAGTGGTTGAGAGTCCGCCTGCCGATGCAGGGGACACGGGTTCGTGCCCTGGTCCGGGGAGATCCCACATGCCGCGGAGTGGCTGGGCCCGTGAACCATGGCCACTGAGCCTGTGTGTCTGGAGCCTGTGCTCCACAATGAGAGAGGCCACAACAGTGAGAGGCCCGCGTACCGCAAAAACAAACAAACAAACCAAAAAAAAAAAAAAACAAGACAAACAAAAAAACTACCTGAAAAGAAACCACAGCAAGGCACTTCATAATCAAATTGCTCAAAACTAGTGATAAAGAGAACATTTCAGAGCAGCCATAGGAGGAAAAAAAAGACAGTTATGCACATAGAAACAAAGGAAAGTATGACAGCAGATTGCTCATCAGAAAAAATGTAAGCAAGAAAAGAGTAGCAATATCTTTAAAGTACTTTAAAATGCCAACCTAGAATTCTATATCAAGTGAAAATATCTTTAAAAGAAAAGTGAAATGAAGAGTTTTTCAGACATACAAAGCTGAAAGAATATTAAAGAAAAGCCTTCAGGCAGAAAAAAAATTATACCAGACTGAAACATGGATAAACCCAAAGGAAGGAAGAGCAACAGAAATGATGACTACAAGGGTAAATATTTAATACTTAAATATTTAAAAGGTCACAGACCCAAGAAATGGCCAAGTGCTACGTACAGTTGCCAAATAAAACACATGACATGCAGTTAAATTTGAATTTCAGGTAAAAAAAATATATATTTTTTTAGTTTAAGTATGTCCAAACATTTTTATTTGCTAAATCTGGCAACCCCAGTTACATAGCACTGTGCAAGTCACAATCTCAGTTGCCTCAGTCTCTGCATCTGGAAAATGCCCAGGTCAGTCTATAATTTCTCATAGTTATAAAATCAGTTCTATGATTTTTTCCTAGTTCTAAAATTCATTGGTTCTAAAGCTCCCTAAAATTCTGGCATTTTATAAAGAATTCAACATATACCCAGGATAATGTTCAGACAAATTAACAGCTTCTAACAATCCTTCACTGAATCTTTCCACTCCCTGAAAACAGGCATTCTTCAAGGTCCCACACGTGGTTTCTCACTTTATACCACTCTACATGCTCAGGAATTCTTTTTTGTTTACATATATGTGGAATATTCCTAGACTGTCCTTTCCCTCTCCAGCCAATCATGGAATTCATGGAAAGCCTCAAAACATCTGTAACATCAAAATTAACACAGCTAACAAAGAATACTGTCTTCAGACCAAAACATAAAGCTTTCAATGAGTTCCTGTATTACAGTATATCTATCAGAAGCTTACAACATATAAACATGAAGCAATTATAGAACCAGAAGGAATATTAACAATGTAAGATTGCTTACATATTCTGCTTAGCTGCAGTCACAGAAGTAAAAACCTACAGATCACCCAAATGTTAAGCCAACCCTAATGATATCAGGAAATAAGAGCCTCATCCCACTAGCAACTGGTGACTGGAAACAGTCTACCTTCCAGACTACCTGGAGTGAAGCCTGGACAATTATATATGTATACAGCCTTAGACATTCTCTAATCCCTACCATGTTTATCCGGTCAATACAACTGGATTTCTCCTTTCGCTTCCTGGGAACAAAGCCCTGACGTGAACCAGAGCCCATGTGACTGGGCCTCCCATCATTCAGTCCAGATTTTGCCAGCTTCCCTGCCTCCCTCCTACTGAAAGCTACACACTGTGCTCTATAATCCACAGCTTCAGATGGAGTCACTAACAAAAGTGATTTACCAGACTCATGACCCCAAACCACAATGCTTATACCTACTACTGCCACCAATGAATTCTATTATTTCCTAAAACCTCTTCCTTCAGTGTCCCATTCATTTGGTGGTATTTTAAAACATATTTTAATGATCATTCAAGTATAAGTTAGTTATTATCCTTTGGATACTCATTTTCTATTTATGGCTATTTCAAATAGTGCCAGCCCTATGGCTAAAGCAAGTTTTCCTAGGTTTGATCCCATTCAACCTGGGTTTCCTGATCGACTGACTCAGCCCTATATATAAGTGCTACAGGTACAAGAATAATAAAACCAATAAGTGCTGCCTATTTTCCTAATCATTATGGGTACAACCACTATCCTATCTATATTTTGCTTTCAGAACTCTAACATTAGGGGACTTCCCTGATGGTCCAGTGGGTAAGACTCTGTGCTCCCACTGCAGGGGATCTGGGTTCGATCCCTGGTCAGGGAACTAGATCCTGCATGCATGCCTCAACTAAGGAGTCCTTATGCCTCAACTAAAGATCCCACATGTCACAACTAAGACCCAGCGCAGCCTAAATAAATAATTTTTTTTAAAGATATGTGTATAAAAAAAAAACCTCTAACATTAGCTTTAAAACCTGACAACTATCAAAGTGGATTTCTTTCTCTGCAAAACCACCACCAAAATTCATGCTTCCCTCTGCAGGATATTTCACATATCTTTTCCACTTTATATTTGGGCTATGGCAGCATATTTTCCTTCAGTCTCCCAGACCTCCAGTAGGCATGCAATATTTACAATTATGATTATACTTTAAAATGCAGCAATTTCCTTTGGAAGTAATATGGCAGTACTAACAAAATCTACCAAAATATTTCTTGTGGCATATCCATTTAAAAGAATTACTAAACTCATTTAGTTTTTTAGATTGCAAAAAAGCAATAAATTTTGAGGGACTATATAGCTACTGAATTCATCTTCCAGCTCTTTTTGTTAAATATACTGTGAAATGAAATACAATTCACAAAACGGAACTACTGAATTGTTAAAAGTACATATCCTATCTCTTCCATTGAATTTAAGAAATAGAAAATCATAACTCATATCTAATTAGTAACTGATGCTCTAAAAATACAGTTCAGTTCCCTGAATCCTCTGGACCTTAATATTCATTTATCAGTTTAAAAAATAAATGAAAAAATACCCAGCAAGCGAAGACTTTGTATCCTGTAGGTGTTCTTTTTTCAGAAAGTCCTCTCTCAAGCTTTCACCCTGTGATTTTTCTCTCACGTCTTCTGAAACTTGTCCACGGTCAACACTGTGACTGGTTTCTAATGGTTTTCGATTTGAATGTTTCCTGTCTCCTTCTCTCTCATCAGATCGACTCCACCATGATAAACTTTCCTCACTGTTCTCTGTGGATTTTTGAAAACCACAATGTACAGAATCCTGAGAGACCAGTGCTGAAGATGAACTAGATGGTTCAAAATTTCTGTCCTTGCTATGAAATGACAGTTCTGCATCAGAGGGTCTTAAGAATTTAGGTCTCAAATTTATATGAGAAGAAAACTCTTGATTTTGTTTTGGACTCAATTCTCTTCTACATGCTTCTAAAGACCCAGATCTACTATCTTTTTCATCACCACTAAACTTATCTTTATTGATATTCTTTGCAATATCTGTTGTATTATATCTATCTCTTGAACTTTTATTATATTTTACCAAGTCTGATTTTCTACTTTCCTGACTACTTTGTGCTCTCTCTGAGTATGCTGGTTTCCTCCACCGTTCTCGTCTACAGTCTTCTTTCATAAACGCAGTTTTCTCAGCTTCTTTTAATTTCAACTGGAAGATTTCCATTGACTAGAAAGGAGGAAAAATTAAACAAGATATTTAAAATTAAAAATGGCTCAATGACTTGTACCCCACATGCCACTGTGTCACGATACACTGTCATGTAGCACAACGAAAGAAAAACTCAACAAAGGGTAATAAAAGACCCATACAGTCATCCTACCTGACATGGCCTGAAATATGTCCCCCCCAAATTTATATGTTGAACCCCTAATCCCTAGTACCTCAGAATATGACCACATTTGTAGACAGGATCTTTAAAGCAGTGATTAAGTTAAAATGAGGTCATTGGGTTAGGCCCTAATCCAGTATGACTGATGTCCTTGTAAGAAGAAGAAATTTGGACACACAAAGAGACATGAGGAATGTGCACACACAGAGAAAAGTTCATGTGAGGACAGAGCAAGAAGGCAGTCATTTATGAATCAAGAAGAGAAGCCTCAGATGAAACCAAACCCTCTAACATCTTGATCTTGGACTTCCATTCTCCTGAGCTGTAAGAAAAATTTCTGTTGTTTAAGCCACCCAGCCTGTGGAGCTGTGTTTTGGCAGCCCTAGCAAGGAAACACACTACCATAAAATGAATACTTAAAAAAATATGAATAACCAATGAAAAATTACCAAATAATGAAAAAATCCTGGGAGCTCAAAAGGAGCCCTTTGACCAAATGACCAGCACTAAAACAAAATGTAATTCAGAAAACAATAAAAACATAATTAAAAAATAATAATAATTCCTACAGGGCTTCCCTGATGGCGCAGTGGTTGAGAGTCCGCCTGTCGATGCAGGGGACACGGGTTCGTGCCCCGGTCCAGGAAGATCCCACATGCCGCGGAGTGGCTGGGCCCGTGAGCCATGGCCGCTGAGCATGCGCGTCCGGAGCCTATGCTCCGCAACGGGAGAGGCCACAACAGTGAGAGGCCCGTGTACCGCAAAAAATAATAATAATAATAATTCCTACAGTCAGTGACAGTCAAGATGTTACTAAAATACTAAAACAAAATAGATTCTCATAAAAAAGAGCAGTTCAAGAATAATAAAGACTTATAATTAAACTATGTTCAAAACTATGCATGTAGTGAGTAGAAGAATAGAAAGTGTTGAATCCAAATTTGTGAATTCAACACTAGCCTGGGAATTTGCTATACTTAGGAAAAAATGGTAAATTGATTTAAGTTACAGGGAGAAGACACATGAACAATTGATTCTACAGAATCTAATATGCATATGCTAGTACTTTCAGAAAGAAAAAAGCAAAGATAATAGGAGCATTAACAAAAAAAAGAGAGAAAATTTCCTCAGCTAACTTTCTAGATCCAAAGGGCTCACCCAACAGCCTTAGGGGAGGAGAGAAAGTGAAGCATACAAAGACTCATACATAAAAAATCCTAATTCCTGAGTCTCAAAATTCATTCAGAAAAAAAATTCTTCACAAAGATTGGATCAGGGGAGAAGGGAGTGTGAGCATGTAAACAAACGTGAGTTAGGTAAATAACACGTTGCCTACAAAGGAAAGAAAGTCAGACTGCTATCAACTATTTGCTTACAATACTAAATGCTAGAAGATAATGGAATAAAGATCAAATTTTGATAAAAAATTATAAGGCAATAGTAATTCTATATACAGAATTCAATTCAGTCAAATTATCCTTCCTTGACATGGACAAAAGAAAGTCATTTTCCAAAATGAAAGGAATCAAAAAGTAAATCACTTACTAATTCTGGGGGAAAATTACTCAGGATCATTAAGCCAAACCATAAATGAATTAGGGCAAAGATCTCTGAAAAAAGGAATGCATGCTATAAACCAAATAGCAATAGTCTAAATAATTGTTCTTGTAGTTGTGAAGAATATAACTGTCAAGAATCACATGCATATTTTTTAAATTTATAGTAAACTGTAATTAAAATTTCAAATTATTTCAATAAAATATGTGAGTTGAGATGGAAAGTTGTCATCTTAGTCTAGGCAGAGATAATCCATTATATTTCATTTTTTCAAATTATTTTAAAAATTCAGGTTTAACATGTTTCTTAAATTTAATGACAACATCAACAGAGTGAAACTGATGGCAGTGGGGGGGAATATTTTCATAATTTAAGCATTGCCTCATAGGCAACTTCTTTTTTTCTTGGTGATACATAAATTAATGATGTATCTACAATTAGTGGCTTCTTAGATTAAATAAAATATGGTAATAATAAAAACCAAAACAGCAGTTACCACAATTTATCCAATGCTATTTTACTACATCTTTTGTATCATTTAAGTGGGCTCTACAAACAATGCCTAGGTTCAAATTTACTCATGAGCTACGTAATCTTGGTTATTTAAACTCTGTCTGCTTCAGTTTCCTCATTTACCAAACAAGAAAATAGTACAATTATGGGTATTAAATAAGTTTAATTATACATGAAGTATTTTAACAGTACCTGGCAGATAAAAAGCATTCAAATTATTATTAATGTTCACAACAATTCTATGATATTGATACTAATAGCTGTGTTTTTAAAATGAAAAATAAAAATGAAGCTAAGGTCACATAGCAAGAGTAACAAACACTGTATTGAAATTCAGGACTATTTGACTACAAAGCCAATGTTTTTAACTACTATGTCAAAATGCCTCACTCTGTGATTCTTAACTGTTCTAGAGCATTAAGAAATTACATAAGGGACTTCCCTGGTGGTCCAGTGGTTAAGACTTCACCTTCCAATGCAAGGGGTGAGGGTTCAATCCCTGGTTGGGGAGCTAGGATCCCACATGCCTCACGGCCAAAAAACCAAAACATAAAACAGAAGTAATACTGTAACAAATTCAATAAAGACTTTAAAAATGGTCCACATCAAAAAAAAAATCTAAAAAACGAAGGTTTAAAAAAAAAGAACTTATATAAAAGTTCACAATTCAAAACATAAACTCATAATAACCCCTTAAAAAACATAAGAAGGAAACTAAAGGCCATGTTATGTATAAATAAAGATATAAATTCAAAATAAAATATTAACAAATTTAATGTAGTGGTATATTAAAGGAAATGCCATAATCAAATAGGATTCAAAGAATGCAAGAATGGTCCAATGTTAGGAAATGTATTCAGGCAATTCATCTCATTAACAAAAGAAAAAAAAAATCACAGTTATATCAAAGGATACCAAAAAAGTTATTTCATAAAATTTAGATACCCATTCCTAATTTAAAAGCAAAAGCAAATTAACAAAAAACCACTTTTGAATAAACTTTGAATGCAAAGATACTTTCTAAAGATGACAATCTTCATCTTAAATGCGAGAAGTTATCAGTTAAACACAGAAAGAAAAGTGTTATTAATCAAAGTTCTGAAATTCTACTTCAAGAAAGTTGAAATATTGTAATACCGAGTAGCAAAAGCAAAAGTAATCACCATTTGCATATAACTATATTCCCATATAACCCAATTAAAAAAAAAACCCTATAGATTTAATGACAAGAGTTAAAAAAAAATGGGCAGACTAGCACCAGGCAAGTCAGAAAACATAAGAGAACAAAGATTCAGCATACAATTGAAAAAAATAAAAATATCTTAGGATACATGCATTAACAACTGAATGGAGAAATGTACTGAAGAGCATAAACAGAAATCTGAATTGACTGTGGTGACCTAAATGGGAAAGAAATCCGAAAAAGAGGGGATATATGTATAGGTATAGCTGATACACTTTGCTGTACAGTAGAATCTAATGCAACACTGTAAAACAACCCTACTCCAATAAAAATTTTAAAAAATTTTGAATTGAGAAATAATCAGTATTTTAGGATGAGATTACTCAACATTACAAAGGTATTGTCTTTGATTTATCTATACATTTAATTAAATTTAAATCAAAATTCCAAAATGAGTTGTAAATTTATAATGTATTTTGGAAAACTGTTTCTTTTGAGCTTGAACTTGACAAAATTGATTCTAAATTTAACAACAAAAAAAAGCACACATAAGAATGTAAAGTTACTTTTTAGTGACTAATAAAAGGAGACTTACCCTGTCACATAGTAGGTGTTCACTAATTATTTGCTATCTGCATGAGTTACTGAAAACTACAGTAATTAAAATAGTATGATACTAATTCCAGGAAACAACAAAAAAATCAATAAAATAGATTTGAGAGTAAAGAAATAGACTGATTTTATAAAAAATGATGTAATATATAATAAATGTATCATTTCTAATTAGTGGGAAAAAATAATTCATTCAATATATTATAAATGACTATCTAAAGACTTAAGGAAAGTTAAATGCTTACTTTAAACTATACACAAATATGTATTTCAAAAATATTAAAGCTATCCATAAAAATAAAACTGAACAAGTTCTCAAAGGACATATAGGTGTGCATTTTTATGATCTTGGGGGTGGAGAAGGCCTGTCAATGAATTATACCAATAACATTAAGTCATAAAAGAAAAACCTGATAGGTTTTGTTCGTAAAAATATTTAAAATATATTCACAGCAAATATAAACAAAGTAAAAAATGAACATGAAACTAACAGGAAGAAATTTGAACAGACTTATTAAAAGGTCTTAAATTAATATCCCAAAATGGGTAAATACCATCAATAATCAATCAAATGGCCAAAAAAATATGAAAAAATATCCCACTTTGCTAGTAAACAAATGTATAAAAATAAAAGCAAAGAAAAAGTCTGCTTACCAATCACAGTAGCACAGAGTATAAAGAATGATAGTACTACTATTGAAAACCATGTAACAAAAGTCATTTTACTGACAGTATAATTTCTTCAATATTTCTGTACAGAAATTTTGCAATACATATCTCACTTTAAGTGTCTATATCCTCTAAATTGACAATTTCCCTTTTAGCAATTCATGTAAGAAAATAACCAGGTAAGTATGAAAAATGCATTGGAAAAGATGATCAGCACAGTGTTGTTTAACAGCAGAGAAAATAAAAATATATAAATGTCCCTCCACTGACAATTAAATAAATAATGGTAAAATCATATAAATATATATATGTAAATATTAAGAGGTCATTAAAATATATACATTTACTGGCAACCAACTATGTCTGTTTGTGTAAGTGAAAGAATCAGGATGTATTCTATGAGCCTACTGTTTTTTTTTTGTTTTTTTTTTGGTTTTTTTTGCGGTACGCGGGCCTCTCACTGTTGTGGCCTCTCCTGTTGCGGAGCACAGGCTCCGGACGCGCAGGCCCAGCGGCCATGGCTCACGAGCCCAGCCGCTCCGCGGCATGTGGGATCCTCACAGACCGGGACACGAACCCGTGTCCCCTGCATTGGCAGGTGGACTCTCAACCACTGCGCCACCAGGGAAGCCCGAGCCTACTTTTATAAAACTGTTTATTTTAAAAGTATATAATAACCAGAAAAAAATCTAAAAAAAAATCAAAATATTAACAAAGATTCTCTTAAAACAAAGGATAATTTTTCTCTCTCACTTTCTTTGTTTGCCTACTCCTTCCTAAGCCTTCTTTCTTCTGAAATTAAAAAAGAAAAACAGGATATCAATAGCTACTGAAACAGAAAGATTATTCACCCATGGTAAATGGGGGAGCTGGTTCTAAAATATACTGCTGCATGATTCCATTGTTTTGTACACATACACAGACACACACACACACACACACACACACACACACGGTAATCATGTCATGATGTATGTAAGTGAAATCATTATGCTGCATATCTTAAGCTTATATAGTGCTGTTATGTCAAGTATATGTCAAGTATGTCAAGTATATTTCATAAAACTGGAAGAAAAAATAAATATCACTTTTTAAAAGCACACTCTCTAAACAACAACAAAAAAACTGTTACAATCTGAAACTCCGGAATACAACAAAAACTCTGAAATAAAATAAAATCTCTGATATATACAAAATTTTTAACAGTGGTTATGTCCAGAGGTATACTATGGAGGCTTTCCTATATTATTTAAATTTCCTCACAAGAAGAAAACGTTGCTTTTACATTAAACACATGCATACTTAAATTTTACATACTTAAGTTTTATATTCATTGAGTTTTATATTCAAATATGCTACATAGGTTTACATAAAAATGAAAAGGAAAAAATGGCTATAGCAATATACACATTTGAAATTTAGTATCAAGTCAATTCAAAAGTGTTTCCTGGCACAAAACACTGACAAAGTTAATTTCTCATATAACTCTGAAAATAATATGTATCTCCTTAATACTTACCCCATATCTTTCAGCTACAATGTCTTCTAAATTTCTATTTTGTTTCTCAGCTTGTTCCTTCATTCTTTGGTAAGACTTCCTTAGCCAGCTTAAACCACCATCTTCTACTACTGAAATTAAATTCCAATATTAAATGTCAGTTATACTTTTCACATGGTTATGACAGAATACTTATTGCTACTACAATGATTTCTAACTATAAAATTACATATTATTCCTTGAATATATAAAAATCATAAATACATTTAAAATTCAACATATACTTGAGTGCCTATATATGCAAGGTGCAGTTCTACAATTATGAGAAAGGAAAAAATAAAACTACCCTCAAAAACACTGCCATCTAAGAGAATGAGGATAAAAAGACATAAATAATTATAACAAAGATAATATTTGATAAATATTATAAACAGCTAAAAAGTTATATAAAAATGAAAAAAAAGGAACGATTGCCTCTAAATGTGAGGTCAGGGAAAATTTCACAAACCAGGCTGAAAAAATGAGTTGGATTTCTATAATAAAAGATAAGAGTAGGAAGGGCATTCCTAGAAATAAATAAGGAATAAAGGTACACACATGGGGTAGAAAAGCTGTTTCAGATACAACACAAAGAACAAATAAGGAGCTGAGAGCAGTCAAGAGGGTGGAATAGGAGGACCTGGGGTTCACTTCTCCCCACAAGTACATCGAGAATATATCTACAAGTGGAACAATTTGCATAGAGCACCTGCTGAACACTAGCACAGGATCCTGGACACCTAGAAGGACAAGAGAAGATCCCTGTGTAACCAGGTAGGATGAAGGACAGAAAGGGAAGAAAAGGAAAAGAGGAAACGGGATGGAATCCACACTCCTGGGAAGGAGCTGAAGGAGAGGAGAGATTACCAAACCCAGGGAGGCCCCCTTACCAGTGGCAAAATATGCTGAGAGGGGTGGATTCAGGGGCTATTGTAAGAAAGGACAGTGGCTGATCTGTGGCAGTCAGAAGAAAACAAGACTTCCATGGACAGTCTGTACCACAGCCCTGCACACCTCAGCCTGAGATGGGTGTCTGCCAACGTGGGCAGGGGCTGGGTGCTGACGCGAGATGTTAGGAGAGCAGACCCAGGGAGAGGACTGCTGTTGGCTGTGTGGATACGGCCTGAAGGGACGGGAGTGAGGAGCTCTGCAGCTGGGAATGCTCCTGGAAGAAGTAGGACTGCCTTAGAAGCAAGGCGCCATTGTTGAGTGGCACACAAGGGGCGGGGCCCCCATCGCAGCCTCTCTCCCCACATGCCAGCCCTGGCCTCCATGGCCACTGGGAGGGATTCCCAACAGAGTGCCCACGCCCCAGTCATTGCAACCTTGTCCCCCTCACACCTGAGCAAGTGCACATGCCCCAGTCATAGGCACCTTATTCCCTCCTGCCTGAGCAAGCATGCATGCCCCAATCGATCACCACCTGTGGCCAATCCCACCTAAGCGAGTAAGAGTCTCCCACTCAGTTGCTGCCTTTGCCCCCACTCGCCTGGGTGGAGAGCAGATGCTTGAGGTTAGCCCACACACCGAGATGGGACCGAAACCAAAACTGAGCCCCCATGGCTGTACGACTAAGGAAGAGGAATTAAAATCTCTCCGTGCAGCTGCACAAGCCACAGATTTAACCCCCATGATCAGCCTGGTATATCCAACACCTGCAGAACAACTGAAGAGATGAGTGCTTCCAGAACTGAGATGGGTCTAGCTTTGGCAGCTGTGGACTTTGGGAACATGTGCACATGGGAGTTGGGGCAGGTCAGAATCTGTGTTGCAACCACACTGCCCACAGCAGGTCCAGAAACTTACCTGAAAGGTCTTTGAGGGCCTCCTGGGAAGGTGGAGGTTGGAAATGGCTCACCATGGGGGCAAAGACACTGATAGCAGAGCCCCCAGGGATTATTTTGTTGTTTTGTTTTGCTGTTTTAATTAATTCATTTAAAATTTTAAACGTATTTTTTATTGGTCTATTGGGTTTTTTTGTTTGTTTTGTCATTTTTGTTTCTTTTTGTCTTCTTTTTTTTCTTTTCTGTTTTGGAGCTTTTTTTCTCTTTTTCTGTTTGTTTCACTTTGTTTTCTTGTCATTTTTGTGTGTTTATTTTTTGTAGTCTTTGCTTTTTGTGTTGTTTTTCTTTTGTTTTTGTTAGTTATGTTTCTATTGTTTGTTTTCATTTTGAGGTATTTTTGTTTGGTTGGTGGTTGTCTACTTTATTATTTGTGGGGTTTTTTGGGATCTTTTTGGTTTTGTTTGCTTCTTTTTAGTTTTCTGTTTCTCTTGGTTTTTGTCTCTTTTCTGGGTTTTTTTGTTGTTTTTTGTTTGTTTGTTTTTGGCCACACCACGTGGCTTGCAAGTTCTTCCTTGGTTCCCCAGCCAGGGGTTGAAACTGAGCCCTGTGGTGGAAGCATGAAGTCCTGGCCACTGGACCTCCAGAGAATTCCTGGCCCCAGAGAATATTAATCAGTGTGAGCTCTCCCAGAGGTTCTCATCTCAGCAGCAAGACCTGGCTCCCCACAACAGCCTGCAAGCTTCAGTGCTGGATGTCTCAGGCCAAACTACCAGCAAGACAGGAACACAACCCCAACCATCAGCAGACAGGCTGCCAAAAGTCATCCTATGCTCGAGACACCCAAAATACAGCTCTTGCCACAGCCCTGCCCACCCAGCTCCAACCACCAGAGCACAGGCATCAGTCCCTCCAACCAGGAAGCCTACACAAGCCCCTGGACCAACATCACTCACAAGGGGGCAGACACCAGAAGCAAGAGGAACTACGACCCTGCAGCCTGCGGAAAGGTGACAATGAACATAGTAAGTTACACAAAATGAAAGAACAGAGGAATATGCTGCAGACAAAGGTGCAAGATAGAAACATACAAGATCAAATAAATGAAAAGGAACTAGGCGATCTACCCAAAAATAATTCAGAGTAATGATAGTAAAGATGATGCAAGATATCAGAAACAGAATAGAGGCACGGATCGAAAATATACAAGAAATGATTAACAAAAAACTAGAGGAACCTAAGAACAAACAGTGATGAACAATAATGAAATGAAACTACCCTAGAAGGAATCAGTAGCAGAATAATTGAAGTAGAAGAACAGGTAAGTGAGCTGTAAGACAGAATGGGAGAAATCACTGCAGTGGAACAGAATAAAACAAGAAATCAGGACAGTCTCAGAGACCTCTGGGACAACATTAAAGGAACCAATATTCGAATTATAGGGGTCCCAGAAAAAGAAGAGAAAGAGAAAGAGTCAGAAAATATTTGAAGGGATTGTAGTTGAAAAGTTCCCTAACATGGGAAAGGAAATAGTTGCCCAAGTCTAGGAAACACAGAGAGTCCCATACAGGATAAACCCAAGGAGAAACATGTTGAGACACATATGAATCAAACTAACAAAAATTAAATACAAAGAAAAAATATTAAAAGCAACAAGGGAAAAGCAACAAATAACATACAAGGGAATCCGCATAAGGTTATCAGCTGATATCTCAGCAGAAACTCTGCAAGCCAGAACGGAGTGGCAGGATAAATTTAAAGTAATAAAAGGGAAAAACCTACAACCAAGATTAATCTACCCAGCAAGGCTCCCATTCAGAATCAGCTGAGAAATCAAAAGCATTACAGACAAACAAAAGCTAAGAGGAAATTCAGCACCACCAAAATAGCTTTACAACAAATGCTAAATGAACTTCTCTAGGCAAGAAACACAGAGAAGAAAAAGACTTACAAAAACAAACTGAAAACAATTAAGAAAATAACAATAGCAACATACATATCAATAATTACCTTAAATGCAAATACATCAAATCCTCCAGCCAAAGGTACAGACTGGCTGAATGGATACAAAAACAAGACATGTATATATACTGTCTACAAGAGACCCACTTCAGCTCTAGGGACACATACAGACTGAAAGTGAGGGAATGGAAAAAATATATTCCATGCAAATGGAAATGAAGAGAAGGAGAGAGTAGCAATTCTCATCTCACACAAAATAAACTTTAAAATACAGACTGTTACAAGAGACAAGGAAGAACACTGGATAACGATCAAAGGATCAGTCCATGAAGAAGACATAACAATTGTAAATATATGCACCCTATATAGGAGCACCTCAACATAAGGCAAATGCTAACAGCCATAAAAGGGGAAATTGACAGTAACACAATAATAGTGGAGGATATCAAGATCCCGCTGAAACCAATGGATACATCATACAGACAGAAAGTTAAGGAAAACACAAGTCTTAAATGACACATTAGACCAGACACACTTAATTGATATTTATAGGACATTATATCCAAAAGCAGCAGAAAACATTTTCTTCTCAAGTGGACATGGAACATTCTTCACAATAGGTCACATCTTGGGTCACAAATCAAGCCTTGAAAATTTTAAGAAAACTGAAATCATATCAAGCGTCTTTTCTGACCACAATGCTATGAGATTAGAAATCAATTACAGGAAAAAAAAAACTGTAAAAAACACAAACACATGGAAGCTAAACAATATGTTATTAAATAATCAATGGATCACTGAAGAAATCAAAGAGGAAATCAAAAAATACCTAGAGACAAAGGACACCAAATACACGACACTGCAAAATGTATGGGACACAGCAAAAGCAGTTCTAAAAGGGAAGTTTATAGCAATACAAGCTTACCTCGAAAAACAAGAAAAATCTCAAGTAAACAACCTATCCTTACATCTAAAGCAACTACAGAAAGAAAAACAAACAAAACCCAAAGTTAGTAGAAGGACAGAAATCATAAAGATCAGAGAAGAATAAATGAAATAGACACAAAGAAAACAATAGTAAAGATCAATAAAACTAAAAGCTGGTTCTTTGAGAAGATAAACAAAATTGATAAACCTTCAGCCAGGCTCATCAAGAAAAAAAGGGAGAGGATTCAAATCAATAAAATTATAAATAAAAAAAACAGAAGTTACAATGGACACCACAGAAATAGAAAGGATCATAAGAAATTAGTACAGGCAACTCTACATCAATAAAATGGACAACGCAGAAGAAATGGACAAATTTGTAGAAAGACAGAAGCTTACAAGACTGAACCATGAAGAAATAG